GCAACTGGAGACCTATTTTAATTCTTTGTCATGATATAGCTATAGAACAAGGAATAAACATGAACTGGGTCGGCCAATCTCGGTTTGATATTGCCGCTCAAAACATTATGGTTTCATCACGCGACTTTTATGAACGGTCGTCCGATCCCGCAAAAATATAACAATTTTCCCCAAATACATTTCTTTAAAGTGAAAAATAGACGATTTTTAAGCTCACGTTCACAAACTTAATTTTTGGTGTGTCAAAATTGCAAGGAATGGAAGGAGCTCCATGCTCAATCATAGTAACAATTTTATGACGGCATAATGATGACTTATTTAGGACACTTGGAACGGCCTAAACAAAAACTATGATCAGATGCCCGCTCACGAATACTTCGGTCTCTCTCATCGTCGATTATTCGAACATAAGATGGCTCCAACTAACTTCACAAAATGTCATCCGACCCTCTTTTGCTGATCATTCTCGATTACCCACAGATCATAAACCTTCTATTCATTCCCCCTGATTAAAAATATATAAAAACATTTGGCAAAATGCCTTTGTAAAACACATTGAATAACTAATTCATCTACATAACCCCCTCTGGCCCTAGTGAAAGTTCAATTCCGTACACTCAAAATCGTCATGTGTGTCGCAGTTTTCTCTTATATTGAATGACAATTCATACCGTCAAATATGTCGGATAGTTAGTCCTTCTCAAAGTCTTATATGATTAAAGCTGGGAACCCTGCATCAACTCATTGCCTGCCAGTCAGCCCAGAACTGGAAGCTAAATTCTACGATGGCTGTTCCCTTATTTGACCATTAGCATAATATACACCTCCCCATCGCACATCCCGATTAGATTCATACCTTTGTTAAATTACGTAGTTTGCGGAATCGCCATGCAATTGCAAAGAGTCATAACAAGTATTCACACATCATTACGCTTGAATCACTCTTATATTCAACAACATTTTGGCTGAATACATGTATATTTTGCTACAAATACACAAGTAGCTGCGACGAGTGGCATTCTTTAGTCCTCGTCAGCTCTCGCCTCGTATGGGTCTTCATCTCATCGTCATCCTGGACCCAACATTCGTGGTCCATCTCTCGGCATCGTTTGTACCGCAGCCCAGTCTCCCTCTCACGCGAGCTACAGAGCGATGCGACCTGCGCTAGCAGCAATTCAATCGTTTTAATAAGGGCTGTATCCGGTTTAGGATCGCGTCCTCTCCCCCGGCATCATCCACTTAATCCACCCACACGCAAGAGCAAGTATGTCTTGCTTGATTGGCACCCAGAACTTCGCGTCCGACCTGGCCACATGAGGCCGCTGATGACTTGCTGGCTCCATCACACAGTATGTCTTGCGACGTCAGTACATGTATGTGTAGGAAAGCGTAAACATAGCAGACAAGCGGATACTTTTCAGACTACGGCCGAGGGAAAGAAACAAGAACCAGTACAGTCACCAGTACCTGTGTCAGTGTTCACCTTTACAGACCGGCACCTATCCAATCCGCCACGTTTGGCGTTTTCCTTCGAATGGCAGGCATACAACCAAGCCACCTCTATATAACGGCCACCCGTCAACAAAGGTCACCTTCATCGTTTCGCTTGAGTGACCATTACATGCAGGTTGGACTGGAGATCGGGTACAATTGACAATCGGGACATTATCGGCTACAACTGGACGGTCCATCGCGAGATCGGCCGTGAGTAGGTACGTAGCTGTGGCATCCTACTCATTAGCTATATCGATGGGACTGCCCCTTAAATAACGATCCGCACGTCGGGACCACGAGATCACGAGAATTCGAGAGCTAACCGTGGCTATTCACCATGCAGCCGCCAAGTACGTGCGCTCATGCACTGCCTTGTGTGCCGGGGTAGCATGGTATGCACCCCAGACCTTGTAGCAAACATCTGTTTCTCTAGATTTCGTATGGGTATTGACATGTCTAGCAGGTGGCACGACGCATTGCACATATGGATTTTATCAAGAGCTAATAATATTAAGAGCTAATAAAGTATTATTAGCTCTTGATTTTATCTTTATTTTTCATACTCAATGTAGACGGGAGACGTTTGCCCTAATATTAAGGCGGGATGTATGCGATGTTACACCAGCGTATAACGCGGTTGGAGGGAGCGAGGACCGTGGGGGGGGGGAGGTCCGTATGACTACAGTTAACGTTGACGATGAAACGGGAATTCTTTGATGACGTATCGACGATCAATGTAATGACTGCAGAGGTCACCTTCACTAGCGACAACGGCAGGAGACAAGCTCGCGGTATACGGCCTAATCGCTGTAATTTTGTGATCTGAGGTGCGACCTTAATGCTGTGTGCGTCATTGAGGGGTCAGAGTGACTACAACGTTAGTTGACGATGATTCGTTAGTAAATATGAATGACGTTATCGACGATCAATGTAATAACTTCAGGGATCACCTCCGCTGACACCAATGTCAAACAATGTAAGATCAATCCCGCACAGAGAGAATAAACCCGCAAGGTGACCAGAAAAAAATACAAAACAAAGTAAAAGTCAATGCAACGATGTGCGATATCCATAAATATCTATAACTATAATACATATTTACAAATCAACAGCATAGCAATAAAAGCACTACTATTTTAATCTCTCGCCCACCGTCGCAGACACCGCGCATCTGGATTTGACATTCAGTTGAATCCTTTTTCGAAAATAACTCCAGACATAAACACCTGTGTGTTAGCTTCGGGCATAGTATATATATATATATAACCTTCAGACAACACGTGTGTCTAGTCCACGAGATATAAAGATCAAACCAACGGGTATATTCTTCATCCGGGAAACAGGGACGTGGAGTACTACAACCAATATACTGTCGAAACAGAGGGTGTTATCCTTACTATTGCACTTGTCTAACAGTAATAACACTTTTTATCGCATTCTTTAGTACATTGAGCATGGATGTGCTTGTCACATATGCGGCCTATATATTTTATTTACTATGTACTTCATTAGCCCTTGCCTTGGTATTAGCCTAGTTGCCCCCCTTAGCAATGCAAGTAGATCTTTGCGTCTTTCGAAAATGTATCGCATCCCTGTCTATCACTGGATTCACCGCTATGTGTAACATGACTACATCTTCCCCTCCGAAAGAGCTTTATGCAATATCACACACTAATTTCCCATGTCGAGAAAAAGGCACAGCTGCGAATATCCGTAAAGACACCCGGACATGCCTCAACATCATCCGAGTAAGAAAGATTAGATAGCTATGCGCGGTTCAACCAGAAACAGTACCCGCCGAGGTTCCAGCCCCATGCAGCGAAAGCCTTGGCATCTGCATATAGTGAAGAGCTAATAAATACCTACTAATAATATAGGTATTTATTAACTCTTCATATAGTCTGGGAATAGAGTTGCGGGAAATCTAGGTCAGAGCTCTATGGGGTTCTGTAATGAAATAACAGCTCCATCCAAACAGCGAATTATCGCGTAACCAAGAGAACATATTCCATAAACCTCCCACGAAGTCATCGCATCGTCGGAGAAGATCTATCAAGCTTTCCTATATTGGTCCTTTCTATACATCGGTTAGCGGAAAAAAATGTGAGATTGCTGTCAACTGTGACTACGGATCAAGACACCATGCTATATCGTATTGCTCATCATTGCCTTGTACTACAGCAAATGTATGTAATATCAGGGGGTCAATAATCACAAATATGTCATTATTACCCCCTGGTAATAAGTACGGCCAACAAATACCAGGGCAGGCGGCATCACACAGCTATAGGGCAAAACGCAGATATATATAATATAAAAAACGATAACGGCGACGATACCGTTGTGATTTTTTATTATATCTGCTCATGACAACTGTTAGGGGTCTGTCCAATCTCAGGCCAATATTCTCAGTTCTGTAAATATTCACCGCCCACGGGTCTAGTAGAAGGATCAAAGATGAAGCCTTACTATATTTGAAGCAGGCAATTCGATTCAATCACATGTCATTCATATTTAGAAACCATGTCGCAGTACGCAAATTGTCTCTCTTCCTTCTCCGTGCCCACTTTAACATGTAAATCTCTATCCCACGGATAGTATTCTTACCCTTAAGCGGCTAGCAAAGACGGGACGATAAAAGGCCTTTACGAAGAAAAGAGTCCTTCCTAAGAGACGACTTTATGGTGACGTTCGAAATTTGCGTAATCTGTAATATGACTGACGTGAATCCGACCGAGCGCTTGTCACGGAACGGGGGGAAAGTTTGCATCTTATGCGGTAGAAGGGGGCGTTTGACGAGCTCACAGTTGTGTAATTGATTGATGTTTGTAACGATCATGGCGGAACGTCTTTTTACTTGCTAATCGGAGTGAAAACGAAATTTGGTCAGAATTCTACGCGACAAAATCTCGCACGCAGAGGTTGTAGACATTTCATTATGTGTTACGAGGTGCGACACGAACTAGTAAAATATACGAGACGCGAGAAGATTCAATAGCACACTCTCGGTCACTCGATAAATTGAGAAAACGTAGAGTTGATGACAAGTGGTGCACGTGTTTCTTTTCTATACTTGACGTGTGCAATCAATAGTACGTTAATTGATCGTCATTGCAAAACTCGCATTAAAAATACACAATCCAAACATTCAAAGCAATTAATAACTATGAATGATATAGTCAATAGCATCAAGAATTCATACTACAGAGAAGCGCACTATCGAGTAGATAATGCAGATATCTATATATTATATATATATAATGCACTCTTGAAAATATAACACGTGAGTAGATAACCCAATACACAATAAACGTAGTAAAACACAATACACAAAATCAATTACAAAAGATGCCTATACTTTCCGGATAATATAACCCCAGGCAGGCAGATCCTGTCACCTTACTTTGCGACAAACCGTGTCTGCCAGGGATTAAGGGTCAGTAGCTACGGGGTGCGTACACCGCTACGTGTTTACCGCCCATAGATCATAATGAATGTATACTTACACTGCCGTGTCGCGCGCCACTTTTCGATGACTCCGTCGCATCGCCGCCATCTTCCCTGCGGATGAAACACAGTACCATGTCGTGTTCAGATAGCTGACTGCGCGCAGTGATGCAGTTATCCACGCGTCGTATGACGGATACTTAGTGCTAATGCGTGGACCATAAATATATATCTAGTTTATATATATATATATATATAGAGAGGAGAGAGAGAGAGAGAGAGAGAAGAGAGGAAAGAGAGAGAGAGAGAGAAAGTAGAGTGAAGATAGATATGATAGATAGGATAGAAGAGTGAGATAGATAGATAGATAGATTAGATAGAGTAGATAAGAATAGATAGATAGATAGATAGAGAGACACTCAGACATACAGATATATATATATATATATATATATATATATAGAGAGGAGAGAGATGAGAGAGAGAGAGAGAGAGAGAGAGAGAGAGAGAGAGAGAGAGAGAGAGAGAAAGAGAGATCGAGAGATCGAGAGATCGAGAGATCGAGAGAGCAAGAGAGAGAAAGATATATAGATAAATAGATAGATATCGATTCTTATATCCAGGGTAGATTCTTACGATCACTAACCTGATCATGCTATCGGAGACTGCCTGGTACCGTGGCGGTGTCGGGTAGTCGGGCAGGGGTCTGAAACGACGTGCGATTTCGTTTACGTTTATGACAAAATCGAACACATTTCTTCGCGCCATTTTTTTGAGAAACGGAGGCGACTTGAAACATCAATATTTACAGCGATGAGGATAGATTAGAAACTTCCGTGTTTACAGACAGCGATCCTCAGCGTGCCGTAGCAGGAATGGCGCCAGAGACTGCCCGACACAGGGCTAATGTCCCGGACGTGGTGGTGTAGTGCTCAACTCACATTGCTAATGAGTGGGGGAAAAGGTCATCTCAGACTAAGGGGATCGGATTTTCCCAAATTAGCTATAACTATAGCTATGTGTATATTGTAATATGCCATTGATCCTGTTGATTGTTTTCGTAAGTTACTGCGACTAGAAAAACGTTTTCTTTATAATTAAATAACACTCGAGCCGGTAGCCACGTAATTCAAGATGGCCGCTCACCTGTCACGTGCTCCCGCACCGCCAGGGGGCCAGCCAGGCGACACCGAGCGGGCGCGGTCGTGGCGTAGAGGCGCGCACACAGCGGGGGTTGACACTGCATGTGACCTGTCTGCGTACATGCCTTGCCTGCAGAAATAGAAAGAAAAAAAAGATAATAGGGCATCGATAAGTTCTCCTGAAGTTATATTAACGATACGTGCATAGACTGGAAATAATTCCCTGTGACGTAAAATAGCCGGTAATGATGCGCGTGTGCGGGTTTCCGAAATAATCCCATATGATGTAAATCGTTCGCATGTCCTTTGAGAATCGTCAAGGTTTCCTTATCGATTACGAAAGCAGAGAGGCTTTTTTTAATTGCTTCATGTATTTTCTTATCTTTACGGATAAAATCAGCGCTTTCAGTGCAACTGTCACCTACGAGCAAGCAAGCGCGCAAGTTAACGCAGAACATCTGTCTGGTTTCGGTCAGGCGCGAAAAAAAGTTTAGTCGGTTGGTTTTATAGAACGCGATCCTTTCGATTGGGCAAGTTACAAGCTTGCTCTTACTAGTTCGGGGACTAAACAGCGCGTAAGCGCATTTCAGTAAATCGAATGCTACAGCAAAAAAGCCGGACACATTTGAGAGTACGCGAGCGCCTGGAAAATGCGATTAGATTTCAACGTTCATCCACGAATACGCGTCTTCGCTCAGGTCTGGCGAAGAGGAACATTAAGATGCGCGAAATGTGTGCATTTTTGTCGCGTTCCACAGAGATCTATGCTACATGTTGTAGTCGAAAATGTGTTAGATCTGTCTATCTGCACAGTATCAACGGATACCCTAACATGATACCTTTGCTGCTGCTCATCATCCTCCTCCTCCTCCTCCTCCTCCTCCCCCTCCTCCTCCTCCTCCTCCTCCTCCTCCTCCTCCTCCTCCTCCTCCTCTCCTCTCCTCCTCCTCCTCCTCCTCCTCCTCCTCCTCCTCCTCCTCCTCCTTGCTCTCTCGTCCTCGCACACTAACAGGTTTAGCGTTTAACTGTCGCGGCGTCTGCCTGGGAACAGCAGACGAAGCATACATGCAATCGCCTCAATTCTAGTTTTTGCCTCCTAGCCGATCTCACTCGCAGCTCCGACGCAATTTGTTTTTCGTAATTACGCGTCGGCGTCGCCACGCCCCCTGTCGTCGCCGCGGGCGCCTCTTGTTTTTACCGCGGTGATTGTGGTGACACCTGGCGGGTCGGATGACGCGGTTGTTTTCTTTCGAACGCATCATCTGTCAGTGTCATCGTGATTTGTTATGATCCTGGGTGTATAGTTCGGCGAAGGGGAGGGGGAAGGCGAGCAGAGGGGAGGGGAGGGGAAGAGAGGAGAGGAGAGGAGAGGAGAGGAGAGGAGAGGA